TGAATTCAGTCATTTTCTTGTAGATGCTTATGTTTCTGATAGAAAGTCTATTAAGTATTTAATTCCTGTCTCAGTTGAGAATAAGAATCTCATATTTATTTGATTTAAATCATACTTCTTCTTCAATCTGACTCTGAGACTACTGTATAATATATAATGTATTACAATATACTCAGGATTTTTATTTATATTGCAGAATGAGCACTCTGTTGAATCAAATCTATCATCAAATCTTTGTATATAGAATTTGAAATAGTCATGTTCTAGTTTCAGCTGAATTATGAATGAGAATATTTTCTTTTTGCATTTAATTGAACAAGATTTTCACTTTGATTTTATCTCAAATCTTGAATAATGTATACTCTTCTTTTGTTTCTGCCAGCTTTCATTTCACTTATTTAAACAAGATTCTTTTATCTTTCTCTTTATGAAAGACTAGAACACTGTTTTTTAAATAGATCTGCTTAATTCTGAACTCTTTTTTACAGCTGAATCAGTCAATTCATTATCATAAATATTCATATAAGCAGAAACTCAATGCAGTTAAATTATCAGTTTTAATGTTCTTCTCTTTTGAATTTTCAAAACAGAGTTTAAAATCAGTTCAAGATTCATTTGATTATTATGAATCTGACTATTTCTAAGTCTTTTTAAAGTAGCTTGACTATTAGAGAATATTCATATCTCTTTCAAACTATTTCCTCTTTTATAAGATTTTATTTCAATGAGTTTGAAAGCTTTCACTATTATAAATAGTTCAGCATCAAAGACTTCAGATTCACAGTCTAAATTTCAGAAATCTGAGATAAAATTAATATTATCTTCAGTATAAGCAATGTCTGTATTTAATCTATTAAAATTCTCTTTTTTTGAGTCATCTGAGTAAATCAGAATAGAGTCTTTTATATTGATTGTAAAGATCTTCTTTAAATACTGTTCATATTCTCTCTCTTTAGATAGTTCACTTATTTATAAGTCTATGAGAGATTTCAGCTTTTCTCTTCAAAGAGATATCTTCTCATGATCAATTTTCTCAATATTTAATTAAGAAAATTGATTCTTAATAAGTGAATATAGTCTATACAGTTGAGAGAGCATTTTCTTTAAAGTATTATTCTTATTTCAATCAAGAAATCTATTTCAATTCAGTTCATTTCCTGAGTTAACTGATGAAAATGAAGAAGAGACTCTTTCTCTGATTGTATAATTTGAGCTCATCTTCATGACTCTCAGAGTATAGTTCATACAGGCCTTTTTAAATCAAATAGTAGAAGATAAAATTGAAGCTTCAATTTTCATTGCTTTAATAGAAGATGATTTGAATGCTCTCAGAATTCTTCTCAAAGCTCTGTTTTATAGACTTTGAAACAGTTCAGTGAAGTTATCTTGATTGTTTTATTAAACTTAAACTTCATAATCAGCTACTGAGATAATACAGACTATGTATAACTGTCTCATAGTCTGAAAAGATAGATCTCTCTCAGTATTTGATAATCTGATTATACTATTCAGTAGTCTCTCTGTCTTGATAATTCTTTGTTAAATATGATATTTAAAATTCAACTTGAAGTTTAATCATACTTCTAGTTATTTAACATTCAAACTAAGTTTAATCTCTTTATTTAAAAGAGTTAGACTTAGTTCTTTCTCATTAAATCTAAAAAAAGTGAATTAACTCAGTTTTATTCATATTAAATTGAATTAGATTGATATCTGCTCTAATAAAGATTTTCTTTACTGCTTTCTCAATCACTTCTAAATTCTCTTTGATTATCTTTGAACTGTAGAGTAGATCAATATCATCTATATAACTTAAAGATCTCACTATTTTCATCTCTCTATTCTTGAATAGATATGCAGTGTATATTACAAATAAAACAGATGAGATTGAAGATTCTTATGATACTTCTATTTTTATCTCAGTTTTATCTTGTTTTCTTTCATCAAAGAATAGTTGTATAATTCTTTTAGATATAAAATAATTAGCTCATTTTATTAGAGAAAGTGACAGTTTTAACATCTTCAAAGTTTGAATTATCTTAGACTTTGAAATATGATCAAATATCTCTTTTATATCAATAAAAACTGCAGTTGAGACCAGATATTCATACTTTGTTACTTAAATATCATGAATAACTGAGAGAACAGTGTCAATTATAGAACATTGTTTTCTATCTCTCATTTATTCATTAAATAGAAGAGAATTACTAATAGAGCTTATAAAAGATAATCTAGTAGCTATTATCTTTTCTAGAACTTTTCTTAAACAGTTCAACAGAGATATTACTCTGTATAACTTAAAAATTGAAGCTTTTCTATTAGATTTTGTAAGGATTACTTCAGTAGCTTCTCTTCAGTATTCAGAATAATAATCATTTTTTAAGAGATTGAAAAAGAGCTCAAAATATTCATTCTTCAAGTAGAAATATATGTTTTAAATAATTAAATGATTAATTGAATCAGGCCCTGCAGCAGTTTTAATTGAACTTGAGAATATTACTAACTCTAGTTCATCACATGTAAGCTCAGATCATTCTCAGTTATTTTCATCAATATATTCATGAAATGACATATTCTTCTCTTCTAAATGTGATGAGTTTTGAAAGAGAATTCTTATAAAAGCTTGATATTTTTTCTCAAAAGAGTTTACTGTATACAATTTATTCTGAAATTTATATTCTAAGATTGAAAGCTTTACTACACTTCTTGTTTTAGTATAGTTAAAGACTTTAAAAACTTCTTTTTCTTATACTTCTTTAAGAAATTTGTTTCAGTAATCTGTTTTAGCTTTTTTAATATCTGAAAAATATTCATTTCAAATAGCTTTGAACTTTTCATCAGATATTAAGTTATTCTTTCAATCTCTCTTAGCAGTGACTAATTACTTTCTTTTAGAAGTGATATTCTTATTTTATTAAGATTTGAAATACTCAGAAGACTTTTTCTTTGAAATATTTTTTTTAATACTTGTTAGAAGAATAGATATAATCAGCTTTACTCTATTCTTAAGTATTTCATTTGAGATATCTTGACTTTGATTTCAATAGAGCTTACTCTGTCTTTCAGATTTCAGCTGTTTTACTCTTTCTTCAACTACTTTTCAATCAGCTTTTTCAAAGTTATACTGATTAAAGAGAAGAGAATTTTCACTTCTTTATTTTTTACTCAGTTTAATATTAAATTGAATGATCTCATGATCTGATTCTGAGATTTCATTTGAATCAATAAATTAGTTTATAAGTCTTTTTTTAATTAGATTTTGTGATATGAAAGTTAGATCTATAATAGATTTCTGTTTTATATCTTTTCTAAAGAATGTTTATTGATCAGACTTGTTAACTAAATCTATTGAATATTTAAAAGTTTATTCAATCAGTTTATCTGCTCTTACTACTCTTGTGCACTCTGAGTTCTATTAGAGATAATGTGCATTGAAGTCTTCTACTATTATAGAGTTTTTTAAGATAGTTATATTTAAAAATTCTCTATTAATTATTCAGATATTATTGTTTTCTTTCAATAACTTTTCATTATAGATATTTATAAGTTGAATAGTATCAAACTCATTCTCTTTATCTATAATATCACTCACTAGAATATCAGAGTCAGATATGATATCAAATCTTAAATTAAATTAATATCTTGATCTTTTTCTCTCATAGATCACTACTCTTGATTTTATCTCAGATTTTTCAGAAAGAAAGTAGTAATAGCTTGAATAAGAAATAATATACTTTTACTCAGTATCAAAGTTTGATTCTTGAAGAAGTATAAAGTCAACTTTTTATTCAAATACAATCTAAAGATAAGAATAAATATAATTTGAGTTTCTATTCACATTATTTTGAATAAATGTGATTTTTAAAGAGTTTTTAAACTTTTTTTATTATTTTTGTTGTATATTCATACTAAGAGAGAGTAGAGATAGAGTAGAATCTAATCTCTATCATCAGATAGTAGATTATAACTATTTTGAAAAGTAGAAATCTCAACTGCTTATATTATATCTAGTTTATTATCAGAGTCATTTCTCAATTCTCTAATCTTAACAGAAGTTTGAGAATTCAAATTCTATTTACACTTAGCTAAAGAATTGAAGTTTGAAGATCTAAATAGTTAGAATTTCTTCTTTTTAAGCTTACAGTTATAGATTTACTAGCTTGACTTTTCTCTTCAGTTTTAGATTCACTTTAAGCTTCATCTTTTCTTCAGTTCTTCTGAGTTCTTGAAGTAAATACACATTCTTTTGAGTTAGATGCATGTTTTTCTTTACAATTGAAGCACTTAAGTAGAGTATATTAACATATTTCATCTCTTTTTAAGCATGTTTCATATTTATGCTCACTAGTTTTGTAATCTCTAGTATAGAATGCATATTTTAAGTCTCTGAAATGAGAGATTGTAAAGTGTTTATATCTTTGACAGTTTGAACACTGTGTTTAAGCTTTGAGATTCATTCTTGAGTCTTTGTATTCATAAACTCTCATTTTCAAATCTGCTACTCTTACTTCAGATATTCTTGATTATTCAAGTGTCTTTATATATACTAGAACAGAGACATTTCTTCTACTCTATCTGAACTTAATTAAATTAAGTCATACAGACTCTTTTCTTAGTTGAATAGAATTGTATTCTTTCAATTTATTTTTAAGAAGTAGTATTTCTTTCTCACAGTCAAAGATTTCAATTGAAATATTATAAAGAATGAATTTATCTCACTTTTCATCTCTTTTAGATAGAATTATTATGTTTAACTGAGATTCTACTGCTGATTTTTAGAGATTCTTATTCTGAATAAGGAATTCTGCACTGAATTCAGACATTGTGATCAGAATGATAGAGTTTTCAAAGAAGAATGACTCAATTGAAGCTATAACTGGTTTTTAAACTTCAATATCAGTTATTAACTGAGAAAAGAACTGCTGATTAATTTCATTTCTAATTCTGAAAATAAGGTTTGAGTTTAGCTTATTTCTCTGCAATATATTCTGATTTGAGACTTTGAGAATAAGTGTTCTATTTCTGAAGATTTGAAGATTTTTCTCTTTTTGCATTTTTTTCTTCACTCTTCTATCACTAGAAGTATGAGCAGTATTCTTCTCAGTTTTCTCAGAATTTTGAGCAGGTTTTGAGATGACAGATTTAGAGACAGTAGGTTTAGAGACAGCAGATTCAGCTGCTTGAGCATATGTTTTCTTCTGATTTAAAGAAGAAGAAGAAGAAGAAGTAGAAAAGAAAGAAGAGTAAACTGAAGAGTTAGTAATTGTATTAGAAATTTTCAAAGTTTTTAAAACTGTATTTAAAATTTCAAGTTTGAACTTAATCACTTTCTGTAGTTATCTAGCCTGAGTATGAAGAATTAACAGAACTTCTTCATTTATCTCACTCAGATACTGTTTTTCAAGAATTTTACTTACTTTTTCAAGTTTCTGTATTTTAAAAACTTGTTATTTCTCTTTTTCTTCTTTCTTTCTTCTCTTCAGAATTTCAATCTCAGAAATAGTATTTAAGAAAGCATTCTTTTTCACATCAACTGAGTGTACTTTTGAACTCATTATTCTTACTCAATGAAAAGTTAGTCAGACTAATTCAATTAAGATATTTATTAAACTCTTTTGAATTGAAAAGTTGATCAGACTGTTTTAATTAAGAGATTTCTAAGTCTGTTTTCAATTGAAAAGTTGATCAGACTGTTTTAAAAGAAGAATAACAGACTTTTATATATAAAATATCTGATTTTTTTCACACTAGTTCAGTAACTAGATTAGATTTTTAAAGAGAATCTAATAAACTAAAATTAATTTTTAAGATAAATCAATAAAATCTTTACAATCTCTTTCTTAAGATACAGTGAGAAAAAGTATGATATCAATTAATAATAAATCAGATAATATAACAGTTTTTAAGAGAAAAACTGATAAAAAATAAATCAATTTTTTACAGAGAAATTGATTAAAACTATTTAATTTTATTCTAAATTATTCAATTCTTCTCATATAACAAGTGTGCAACTCAAATCAGTTAATAAAGAGTGTAAAAAAGAATTAAGTATTAATGAAAGCTCTTCAGTCACTGAAAAAGTAATTCTTACTTAAAAGAATATGAAATTATGATAGATAATAACTCTGTTTTTAATTCTTTATAAGAATATTGTATAAAACTCAGAGAAAAATATCTTACTTTTTCAAGAGAAGTAAAAAACTATTTTTAAAATCTTTTTTTTTTACATTAACTGCTACAGAAGAATGAGATAGAAACTGCTAAGATATATACTACTATATACTCTTTATCAAGACTTTCTCTCTTCAGAGTCTTAATATTATAGAGAATATAAGCTTGTTTCTATATAATAATGTAAATATTATCAGTGAGATATAGAGAAACTAGTTATTTATATCTCAAAATAGAAGACTTTATCAATAATTATATTAATATAGAGTTAATTCTTAAATTCAATAGAAATCTAGTATTGCTGTTCTCAATCTCTTACAGAATCTATTGAATATTAAGATATTAAAACTAGATTTAATATATCTCACTATGCAGGAATCAAAGACTCACAGAATATCAACAACCGCCCCACCACGAACTCGCTCGACTTTTCGAATAAGAACCCGCCAATAGATCCATCGAAAAGCCCTCGATCATACGAGCATTTGGACCCCATCGCCGACCGCATACCCCGTGTGGTGGTGGAGATATCCAGCCAAACGTGAACTAGATGTTGTTTGAAACTCCCGTGTGGGATTATCCCCCATTCACCCCTATCACACCACAACCCCGGGCCAAAGTGCCATACAAATTGTAAGGTGAAGAGACATAGTCATATGCACCAATCTTCTTGATTTTGGAAGATCCTCAATCTGTAATTGTGGAGATATCTGAGAAGTGATCTCTGCGAAAACCCTGTCCACCTTTGATGTTCCAAAACATCAACGCCAAGTCCCACCCTCGTACCGCCCTTCCCAATCTGGCCCATCCCCGGCAGAAAAATACAAAAAGATACCTCAGTGATAATATCAAGCACATAACCAATGAACACTTCTGAAGTGCAATCTTCATGATCTGTTGTCAGTGTATCTAGACTTCAACACCAAGTCTCACCCTTGTACTATCCCTCTCAATCTGGCCCATTCTCAGCAGAATAATACAAAAAGATACCTCAGCAACAGCATTCAATACATAATCAGCAGACAATGAGTCAACAGCATATCAACAACTATAAAATCAGTATATCTCAAGATCTGACTGAGCCTTTGATCCCTGCACAGTGAGATATATTAAATCTAGTTTTAATATCTTAATATTCAATAGATTCTGCAAGAGATTGAGAACAGCAACACTAGATTTCTATTAAATTTGAGAATTAACTCTATATTGATATAATCATTGATAAAGTCTTCTATTTTGAGATATAAATAATCAGTTCCTCTACATCTCACTGATAATATTTATATTATTATATAGAAACAGACTTATATTCTCTATAATATCAAGACTCTGAAGAGAGAAAGTCTTGATAGAGAGTATATAGTAGTGTATATCTTAGCAGTTTCTATCTCATTCTTCTGCAGCAGTTAATGCAAAAAAAAAAAGATCTTAGAAATAGTTTTTTACTTCTCTTGAAAAAGTAAGATATTTTTCTATGAGTTTTATACAATATTCTCACAAAGAATTAAAAACAGAGCTGTTTTCTGTCATAATTTTATATTCTTTTAAGTAAGAATTACTTTTTCAGTAACTGAAGAGCTTTCATTAATACTTAATTCTTTTTTACACTCTTTATTAACTGATTTGAGTTGCACACTTGTTGTGTGAGAAGAATTGAATGATTTAAAATAAAGTTAAATAGTTTTAATCAATTTCTCTGTAAAAAATTGATTTATTTTTTATCAGTTTTTCTCTCAAAAACTGTTATATTATCTGATTTATTATTAATTAATATTATACTTTTCCTCACTGTATCTCAAGAAAGAGATTATAATGATTTTATTGATTTATCTTAAAAATTAATTTTAGTTTATTAGATTCTCTTCAAAAATCTAACCTAGTTACTGAACTAGTGTGAAAAAAATCAGGTGTTTTATATATAAAAGTCTTTTATTCTTCTTTTAAAACAGTCTGATCAACTTTTCAATTAAAAACAGACTTAGAAATATCTCAATTGAAACAGTCTGATCAACTTTTCATTAAGTGAAAACAATGAGTTTGAAAATACACTCAGTTGATGTGGAAAAAGATGCTTTCTCAAATACTATTTCTAAGATTGAAATTCTGAAGAGAAGAAAGAAAGAAGAAATAGAGAAATAACAAGTTCTTGAAATACAGAAACTTGAAAAAGCAAGCAAGATTCTTGAAAAGCAGTATCTGAGTGAGATGAATAAAGAAGTTCTGTTAATTCCTCATACTTAGACTAGATAACTACAGAAGATGATCAAGTTCAAACTTAGAATCTCAAACACAGTTCAAAAAACATTGAAAATTTCTAGTATAATCACTGACTCTTTATCTTGCTCTTCTTCTTTCTTTTTTTCTACTTCTTCTTCTTCTTTGAATCAGAAGAAAACATATGCTTAAGTAGCTGAATCTGCTATCTCTAAACCTGCTGTCTCAAAATCTGCGAAA